TTGTTTGTGCTAGTTCACGGGCAACTGAGGTTTTGTTCATAAAATCTTTTCCTACACCAATGTCTTCAAGAGTTCTTCTTAAACTCTCTTCCAACCGGTTTAATGTTTCTGTTTTAATATTTAGATCTTTAATCCATTTTTATTTTAGTTTAGTGCATGGTGAGAGATATAGGTCTAGATTTAATCTTTGGCAAATTGAAGCCCACTTTGTCCAGCACCATTTATTAAAGAGGCTATCTTTCCTCCAGTGAGGGTGTTTGGCTCCTTTGTCGAAGATGAGGTGGCTGAGTGTGTCTGGAGTTGTTCCTGCATCTTCTAATCTGAGGAACTGAAATGTTAATTGTAATTTATTCCAACTGGAAGCGTAGCTGGTGGTCAGTGGCCCCGCAGTGAGAAGAGAATGTGCAGGAATCTGGACCAGGGCTAGGGGAGGCTGCTCTGCAGGACCCCGGATGCAGCAGCTCTCCGCGAAGGCCCCCAGCTCTGGGTTGGCTGGAGCACAGGCGGGGAGGCTGGAGGATCCCAGCCCAGGACTACAGGTCAAACGGAAAGCCAGGCATGGTTCTGGAAGAGTAGTACGTTGCCCTTTGTGGCTCTCAGACCAGCCTGTGATGTCAGTGCTGTTACCCCACACCCCCTCACTGGCAGGTAAGGAAACTGAGTCATCAGGCAGGGCCTGTGCCAAAGTCCAGAGTCGGGCGGAAAGCGCAAGCACCTTTCTGCAGCAGCTCCGGGTCAGGTGTGACAGTGAAGTCATTACAGGCAGCTGAGTTGGAAATTAATACACAGTCAGAGAGCAGCGGGGCTCTCAAGGAAGTCAGCACGAAAACAAAGACCTCAGAATGGGCTGGAGGTGCATCTGAAGATGGCCGGGCCTCAAGGTAAAGAGGCAGCGGCCAGGCCTGCAAGCCTCCCTGAGGGACAAGCAGTGGCTTGGAACGATACTGTGATTGGCAGCGCCCGGTCAGTTAATCCAGGTAGACATCAGTCGCCCAGGTGGGTGACCACGGCATCCGGACCCATCCCACCCCAAAATGCCTCTGTTCTTTCCACGTACCTTGCTGTGTGGCCCGCTTCCTGATTGGGTCAATATTAGCTAAGCAGCTGTACTTGTCATCCTACAGATTGACAGCAGTTGGACCCACGTTGTGACTGCTGTACAAATCACCCCTGACAGTGGGCCCCAGTGGTCACCCAGGACCCCTCCTGTCTCAGGAGCTGTCTCTCAGTAAACCTTTCCTACGCTTAACTGCCATCGTTCCTTGGAATTCCTTCTTTGATTTTGGAGGACAAGAACTTGGTGCATCTGATACCTGACAGGTTGGAATTATATTCCTCCTATATCAGAGGGACCTGAGGCTGGGCTTAGGATTTCCAGTAAGCAGGAGGACTTTGAGAGCCCCACCCAGATCCAACAGGAAGAGGAAAAAGGGGGGGATAAAGTTCACCTCCGTGGAAAGAGACCCAGGAGTGCACGTGTCCATCACTGTGTCGTCCCTGAGTGCCCTGTTAGGCGTCGGGACTGCTTCCTTATTCCTGTGGAGGCACCTCCCTGTGCTGCCCCTGCCCCAAAGCTTGTACCACCCCTCCCACCAGGAGGAGTTCGGGGGTGGGGCCGCTGCAGGTTCTGCAGAGAAAGAGTGTCAACTGGAAAGCCGGAGAAGCAGAAAGGGCCAAGAAAGGGCCGCTGCACACCCTGACTGCAGGACGGCGACCTGTTTCCCACTGGTGGGTGCTGGGGGGATTCATTTCTGGGGGTCACCCCCGACTGGACATGCCCACGGGGGGCTTGGGCAAATCCACAGGTGGGTGTAGGTGAACGTGGAGTCCCAGCTCCACTGACTCGCCTGTGGGACCCAGCAAGGCACTTTTAGTCTTAGCCAATCATCACTCATCTGTGAAATGGGACCGAGACACCAGCTTCCTAAGGACTGCTTGTGAGGTTAATGAGAAGCGGCACTGAAGACGCCTCAGCAGCGTCCGAGACATACCAGGTCTCCAGATGGTCCTCGGCACCTGTCTTCACTTTATCCTCCCTGGAAAAAGCACACCCCTATCCTGTGGGTTAACTGTGGGTCTCTCTGCTCTTGCCCCTAAGCTGTCCTCTACAAGTCAGGGAACTTCAGATCCCAGCAGGTGGGGGTCTAGGGTCAGCTTCGTCATCAGAGACACAATAGCACCTACTTCAGGAAGATTTGGAGTTGTGAGCAGCAGAATCCTCTTCCTCATCTAGGTAGAAAATAAACTTTTAAAAGAATTGTGGCCAAAAATCACGTAACATTAAATTACCATTTTAACAGTTTAATACTGTTCAATATACACTGGACCCTCAAGTTACAACTAGCCTGACATACGAACAATTTGGGTCACAACTGGGATTTTAGTTTTAACTTGCAACCAAAGTCTTGAGTTACGACCCGAATGCTGGCTGCTTGTGCTTCCAGATGGTCTCAGATACAGATTTAACCCTTACAGAGTTCTGGAAGGAACATGACAACATCCTTTCCTGTGTGGGCTAGCTGAGAAATCCTGGGCCAGTGTCTCTCTAAGGACTGAGATCTGCCTGTGTACAGGAGAGAGACTTGGAAGGTTGTGTAGAGGAGCCTGAGCCTTCACTGACCAACTTGAGTTACATACAGCCAGCCCTCAGGAACGAATTGAGTTCATAAGTTAAGGGTCCACTCTATTCACACTGTTGTGTAACAGATCTTTACAACTTTTTCATCTTGCAAAACCGAATCTTTATGCTTACTGCACACTAAATCCCCTTCCTTTCCCCCAGTCCTTGGCAAACGCCTTTCTACTTTCTGTTTTTATGATTTTGACTACTTTAGATACTATGAGTGGGCCATACAGTATTTGTCCTTCTGTGACTGACTTATTTCACTTAGCATAATATCCTCCAAGCTCATCCATATTGCGGTATGTAACAATTTTCTTCCTTTTAAAAGCTGAGCAATATTCCTTAGTACGTATATATCACGTATTCTTTACCCATTCGTGATAAAAATGTGAACATTTGGGTTGTTGCCACCTTCTGGCTATTGTGAATATTGCTCCAGTAAGCATCAGTGTTTAAACACTGTTTCAAGCCTGTTTTCAATTTCCGTGGGTTTATACTCAGAAATGGTATTGTTGGAATGTTCAGTAATTCAATTTTGAATTTTTTGAGGAAGTTTCATACTGTTCTTCATGACATAATAAAAGGGTAAGAACAAAACACATTAAAAGGATTTGATATATTTTGTACATATATAATCACATACATGTATTATGTATGTATATAAAATCATACACAAACCTAAAAAATATTAATAACCAATAGGAATAAAAACTCAAGACTGCAGCCCTCATTTGTGTAAGTGGTCACAGAGGCATAGCTGGTATTTATAACTGCATTCTTCTAGTACCCATTCTGTGCTCCCTCTTCCCTAAACAGTCACTCACTGGTTGTGGTTCTCTACCTGGTATGTGACCAAAGTCTTCTTTCCTGAAGGGGCTAGGATTTAGCAGTGTGTGCTCTGAACAGAGGTTCGGGTTCTGTGCAGGGTGTGCAGGGCCTGGGTGGACACGCAGGAGGTCTGGGGTGACTTTGGTTTCTCCTGACCTCTGTGCCCTCTGCGTCCCCACCCCAGCCTCTCCCCCAGGACCACACAGTGGGGAATCTCATCCAGATGGGCCTGGCTGGCCTGGTCCTGGTGGCCCTTGGGGTTCTGCCTTTTGAGGCTCGGCCCAGCCAGAGAAGGACCCGAGATGCAGCCAGGGGTGAGCACCAGGGAGGGCCATCGCCAGAGTGAGATCGACCCCCAGAGGTGAATGTGATGAAATCAGGGTTCAGCTGAGCGCACTGTCTGCTGGGAGTCTGAGGGGAGTGCAGGGTGGGCCAGGGAAGGTCCGGGTCATCTCCAGATGCCTCTTCCCTATTAAGCTGCTGCACTCCGGGTGCTGCTGGTTGTCTCTGATGGGTTCCCTCCTTCCTCACCCTGAGCACCTCTAAGTCCTCGTCTTCCGACATGTCTTCCAATTTTATACTGAGCACGTTCCCTAATATACAGCTCTGAGTCTATTTCCTCAGCTTTAACTCAGAATCTGCTTTGAAGAACACAAGAAATAGGCAAAAGTCAGATTCCTGCCCATAACCAGGAAATCCGCAGCGATGCCCTGAGACAGCTTGCTCTTCGTGAATGGCTCCTGTGTGGTTTCTCCAGGAGCCACTTGGAACCAACGCCTGGTGTTGAGGGGTCGGCGCGGTGCGAGCTGGAAAAGCCCACTCTGAGAAGCAGGTTTTAAAAGGCGCTGCTTCATGGCCTTTGCATGTCTGTGGTGTGAATGCTCCCTGCACCAAGCCCAGGTGCAGGGTGACCTCACTGATGAGGAGCTGGGAGTGAGGCCCAGAATCATCCCTCACAGGGTCTCTGGGGGCTCAGGGTGTGCGCTCCATGCTGTCCTCATGGTGCTCTCCACCCCAGTGTCATGGAACCGTTTCAGTGAAATAGGCAGGAAAGACCCTGCATATCCACATTAGAGGCCAAAGGAATTAGCAAGACCATGTTGGAAATTATCAAGGATTAAAGGTAAAAAAAAAAACTTAATCCATGAGGAGCTTGGAATTATGTAGTAAAAAAGAAGAGACACACAGCCATGACTGTTAAGTACATAACCTGGGGAAAACAGTGCACACTCACCAGGATACAATCACAAGAACACAGAACTGTTGTTCATGTTGCTCGAAACTGCCAAATACAAACTGCATCCTGCAAAATCTCTGAATATTTGGTAGGTATGCATGCACTGGAATACAGGAAGAGGAAAATGCATGAACTGAACATGTTCTGCTGCAGGATAAACAAAACAGGAGAAACCGCTGGGAAATGGGAGGATTTTATTCTAAGTATTAAGTGAACACCGGCTCAATGGACTAATGTGCAAAGGAACAGTGTTGAACAAAGAAGTTTCAACTTTGTACATTTAGTTAAAGAGGCTGATCTTTCTAGTGACATAGATGGAGATTATGAAACAGGACAAGTTTTGGAATTTAGCCTTGAAAGAAGATAGAGCCTTATGAGTAAAAGAGTATTACAAACTTTGTTTACAGGACTTAGTTGTCGATTTTATCTGTACCAGAACAAGGAGTTACAGGTATGGGGGATTATCAGGGAGGGGGCTGCCCAAGGCTGGGAATAACTTGTTTTTCTTTAAGTCCTGCTTCATTTCCCCCTTTGATACTTCTATAACACCTTTTAATAGAGAGCACCATCTTTATCATCATTATTATTATTATCAATGTTTGCATTAAAGAGGTGTTCAGTACAACCTACTGAGCAGGGGTTAGTACTTGGTTAAGGCCATCACTCAAGTGGTGGTGTGTCTGTCTATCAGAGTCTCTACGGCCAACTGAATGTTGGGATAAGAGGCAGGGGAGATTTATAATGAAGAGAATAAGCGTTGTGGCTCTATGTTGATACTCAAGATTCAGCCGTTTGTGGACTGGTCAGTGTCGAGTGACCAGAGCAGGGCTGTTGTTTTCTCAGGCTTCAGCTACGCATAGACCAGTCAGCTTCTGTGGTGACTGGAGCAGGGCTGTTGTTACCAGTGGCAGGCTGATCTCATCACAGGATCAGCTGGTTCAGTGTCCTGGATCCTGTTATCTGGTCCAGTTGTCTTGAGCTGTTGTCTTCAGTGAACTGTGGTAGAAGTGACACAGTTCCTGCAACTTTAATGGCAGTGGGGGTGGACAGGATCAGTATAAGGCCCATCTCATATGGGCCCCAGAGTGGATGGATTTTATTTTTTGACTCAAAGAAAGTCCCAGGGCTTGAAAGGGGTATTGGGTCTGTTAGGTGTATGGGCCTTTTTTCTTGTACCCAGCTATGTATATCCTATAGAACTACTCTCAAAGCCTGTATTTGTCACCTTAAGGTTCATTTCTCCATCTCACAGAAATCACCCTTAATTTGCCTTTGGATTGGGGGTGGCGAGCTGGACAAAATCTCCTAAGGGGCATTGGCAGTTAGTGCCCTGAAGCACGGAGGCCATCCCAGGGCCACAGGGTCTGACTGGTTTCACAAGCACGCCACTGGGCAATGCCAGGATCCCATGACCTGCGTTAAGATTCCTATGGCCATTTCTTTTTGTTTAGAAAAGCTTGATTGAGTGAAAGCTTTTTAAATGTTGCCCCTTAATAAGCTTTACAGAGGAAGGGTTTTGTTTCGTCCCTTTGTGGCTTCATATAGGGACTTAGGATAAATTTGAGATTAAAACAAGGCAGAATCCCATTGCCCCTAGAAACTCTCTTATTTGGCACTGGGTGATGGGGTTAGGAGGGCACAGACAGTCTGGTTTTGTTTCATGCCTAGCTGACGTTCCCCCTGTGTCACTATGAAGCCTAAATATCTAACCTCTCATCCCCAAATTTGTGCCATAATTTATTTTTTATTTTTTCCCCATTACCTGTGCACCCTTCACCCCCTCCACCCTTCCCTATTTACATAGATTTCATTTCCATTTATTCTTTCTTTTCTCATAGTTTTTCCTTTCCCTCTTTTCCTTTCCCCTTCCCCTCCCTTCACTCCTTTGTCTTTGGACCTTTTTTCCTATTTCAAATTATCAATTATTCATTTTAATCATTTTAACTCTTGTTTACACTATCAGTTTCTCACACTTGTGAAACTATTCGGTATTTACACATGTGTGTCCTATTTATTTCACTTAAGAGGATGGCCTCGATATGCATCCATTTAGCTATAAATGACTCTTGTTTTTTGTTCTTTCTGTGTGCTGTATTTTAAAATACCTTATATTCAGCCTTCTAGATTAAATTCGGGAGATCCTCAGTTTCCTGGTAATAGTCCTCTCAGTCTGGGGCTGTCAGAAGATTATCTACATATTGCAACAGAGTGCAGCTGTCCGCTGGTGTGATGGAAGCTGTGAGCTCAGTAGCCTGTGCCTCTCTAAAGATGGTAGGAGAGTTTTTGAACCCTTGGTGAAGCCTAGTCCAGGTGAGCTGTTCTCTTATCCCTGTAACAGGATCCTCTCGTTGAAATGTAAAAATGGGCTGATTGATTGATACAAAGTGGAAAAAGGCATCTTTCAAATCCAAGCAAGTAAATCAGCAGCATTTGTTGGAATGATTCAATGTGTCATCACATTGTGTCATCAATGTGTCATGATTCCATGTTCAAAAGCTCCCTTAAATGTCTTTGAATGTCTTGTATGGATTTCCGGGGGCCAGGGTATGGAAAAAATTGCACAGAAATTGTCTATGATTTTACTTTCACAATCACCAGTGTTTGATCTACAACTAGCCCTAGTGAGTTATTTTCAGCTCACACCCTGGGAATCTCACATGTTCGTCCATGTAGCTCATCTATTTCTGTCTTTTTGTAACTTGTCTGAGTTTTTTTCACCTGGGGGATAGTAAGGGCTAATATCAGGCTTTTGGCTGAGCCAGGCTTAAAGTCACATCTCCCTTCACCCTGAAGGTAATAACCGTAAGGACCATCTGTATAGTGAAGAAAGAGCAAAAGTCTGATTGGAGCCCAGGAACAAGGCCACGTTCCCCATCCCATCCATGACAGAGCACCTTGCAGGGCGATATCACTGTCACTACCAAACCCCTGCTGTCTGATCAGAGCGCAGTGAGCCCCTGGAGCTGGTGGGGACAGGTGAGAGGGCTCTCGGGGTCCCGGCCCCAGGCTCTGCCCTCAGGAAGGGGGCTTCCTTTTAGGAGAATGCCCTTTGAAAGCTCATCCCTGGGGACAGTGGGGGAGGTGTGAGTCCCTTTAACACGCTGCCTCCTTCTCTGCTAGGATTTTACAGCAAACCCAGCCTCTCAGCCCTGCCCAGACCTGTGGTGACCTCAGGAGGGACCGTGACCCTCCAGTGTGGCTCACGGCTGGGGTGTGGGAGGTTCCTTCTGACTCAGGAAGGAGAAGATGGGCTCTCCTGGACCCTGGACTCACTGTGTTACCCTGGTGGGCAGGTCCAGGCCCTGTTCCAGGTGGACAGCCACAGGTGGATATTCAGATGCAACAGCTATTTCAGGAGAAAGCTCCGGGTGCGGTCAGCTCCAAGTGGCCCTCGTAGCTCCTGGTGCCAGGTGAGCAGCCCTGTGATTTCAGTGGGGCCAAGATGCTACACGGTAGAGATAAGTGACCTTCAGCCCTCACATCCCTTCCCACCCCAGGGGGCTCTGAGGATCAGCCCCTCACCCCAGAGCCAGGACCTCAGAGTGGTGAGGGCTCTGCTGGGAGGGACCCAGGGGCAGGCGCTGAGCCGTGGGGCCAGTGCAGCCTCCCCGGAGATGATGACATGGGCCAGCCCCTCCTGTGTGGGCCTCAGCTTCTCCAGGCGTAAGGGAGAGGCCTGGCCCTGACCTTCGAGTTCCTCCCAGTGCTGCCCTTGCTGTGACCCCTGGAGGGGAGGCCTCCCTGCTGCTCATCCTGTCCCCTCTGTGCAGTGACGGTGACATTGTGCAGGGAAGGGCACAGGGCCACAGCAGGCATTCAGGGTCCTTTGCTCCAGCTCAGGGAGGAAACAAAGTTAGAGGTCAGATGCCCTGGTCCCTTCCCCGGGTCTGCCTCCTCCGTTGGGTGACCTGCGGCATGTGATTCACCTTGTGCGCACAGCATCCACCCAGAGCTGTGGCCTCAGAGAGGGGCCTGCACTGTCCCCTGTGAGCTGAATGGTCACCTGGGTCCCTGCACTCAGGACAGTTCTGAAACCAGAAGACGTGATGGAGGGAGGATGGACAAGTGCAGTACGGCCCTAAGAAGGTCAGACTAGATGGGCTCCCGTCCCAGCACGCCCACCGGGGCCATCTCACATGGGGTGAGAGGGGTGGAGGGATGGAAGGAGACATGGGTGAGCCTCAGAGGAGCACGGTGACAGCTAGGGCTGAGGGCATGGGACCCTGCCTTCTCCTCCACACATCCTCACTGAGGAATCACCTCCTGCACGTGCTCTGGCCTCACCGCAGGTCCTGACTCCACAGGTGTTGGAGGTGCCTTCAGCCTGACCTGAGGGAAGTTTCTAGACTCATGAGAGTCCTGTTTCCAGGGTTCATGGAGGGTCTGTCTCCAGAGCAGGATGGGTGGCCATGCAGGGAGGATGGCGGCTTCTTGGGTCTCGGAGGATGGGGCAGGTGTTACTCTGAGGTGTGTGAGGCTCAGTCCAACAGGAGGGATGCAAGCAGAGGTTCAGTGGAGGCTGTCCCTCCCTCCCTGGGCAGGACCCCAGGAGCCCAGCTGGCACCAGAACCTGGCATGAGGAGAAGGGAGGCAGGGGCTGAGTCCAGGAGCAGCTGTGGGGCCTGGGAGCTGGGCTGAGTCTGTGCCGGCCCAGCCTCTCCCGGGGAGGGTGAGCTTCTGAGACGCCTCCTCCTCCCTCTGGGGTTTCCGCACCTCAGCAAGCGGGAAATACCTGCTGGTGACCTCTGTGGACCCGCAACTGACCCTCTTGGCTGCTGCAGTGGGCATCCTCGGCCTGCTCTGGTCTCCGCTCCTCCCTGGCCAGTCCTGCTTCTCCCAAAATTGACTTGTTAGTGTTGTACCAATCGAGGTGGTAAATCACCAAACACTGGGACAAACGACAAAGTTAAAACTGAAAGGAGTTTATTCACATGCATGGACTCCACTCCCTAAGCGAAGTGAGGCCCCGAGTCCTGGAACAGCACAGTTTATATAGGGTGTCATAGTAGCATAGCTTTTATAGGTGTTATTTTAGGAAGAGAAGTTCAAGGGGAGGTTAACATGTTTTTGACTAGTTGCAAAAGTATTTTCCCAACTCAGCTATCTCGCTGTGTCAGGTTAGGGCAATGTACAGTAAAGGGAGGCACCAGGCACTATCTCTTTCCGAGAAGCGATGAAGCAAGTTTACAGAAGCAGAACAAGCAGTTAGGAATACATCTACTTTATAAGGGAAGGGCATGAGGAGAGTTCAGCTACAGGCCAAGATGGCGGGTCTCACAGTTAGGGTGGAAAAGCCAAGGGGTAGGGGCCTGTGACTTAGCTATCGGGATAGGGGTCTCAGCACAGGAGAGGAAGTCGCAGTGCTGTGGACACAGACAGTTTGTGGAGCTCCACTGGCTCAGCGTCACCTTGCATGGATCCCAGAAGATTGCTCAGCTCTTCCATTGGGAGCTCCGCCTCACAGAGTCCCGAATGGCCTTGGCCCCGCTTTCCTGAAGGATCTGAGTGTGGTCCCGGATGGGACAGGAGAGGACGAGGTGTCCAGGCCTAACTCGGAGACAGGGGAGATTCAGGGCTGTCGGGGAGAGAGGTGACTGGGCCAACAGGGACAGGATGCAAGGACAGTCCTTCCAGCCTTCACACTGTCCCAGGCCAACATTGTCCAACTGCCTGGAAAGGGGCCAGTGAGGCCAACAGAAAGACAACAGAGACTTGCATAATTTCAGGGCATGTGGGGCCGGGAGGGCAGGGCCTCAGGGGAAAAGACCGAGACTCCCACTATTTACGGGGTGCACACAATGACTGGAGGGCGTATCAGGTGACTTGGGGCGCCGTGATCTCACGTGTGATCCTGTGCTGCTGCAGACCTCATGCTGATGAGGGCGGAAAGGACAGCGTTCCCACCTCAGTAGGTGGTGAGCTGGGCTGATAAGGAGCTCACCCTTCCCCAGGTGAGAACTTTCTCTTCTTCGTCACCACTGGGTTCTCAGGGAACCAGGGAGTCTTCAGCTGGTGTCACTGTACCCTTGAGCACCACAGCCTCACAGACCACTGAGGCCTCAGCTGTGACCAGAGGCAAAGCAGAGTCATGTTTCTACCCGCCAGAGCTGGCTCTTGGGCCAGGCAACCTTGGACCTTAGGCAGCTATAGTTGTACTTTAATTATGAGACGATTTTCCAAACTTTACCTAGAAATGCTCCAGACCGCATACCTCGTGTCTTCCTTATTTTCTGTTCTTATCCTGAGGCCTCGCCTGTGCCAGGCAAGTGCCCTAGCTCCGCGCCCCTTACCACATCGGTGGTGCTGCCTCCTCTCAGGCCCGGGTGGGGCTGCCTGTGGGTGAGGCTGAGCCCGAACCGAGTGGGGAAGCAGCCAGCTCCAGAGTCTGTCTGTGCTCAGAGCCTGAGGCGCTGCAGGGACTGCGCTCACTCGTCATTGTCACCCAGAGCCTGTCACTCAGGTGGCGCGTGTGCAACGGCCTGTGACTCTATTGTGCATGTTTTGCTTACACGCGTGCCTTGTTGCTGTTTTTCTGAAATGTAAATTAATACTCTCCTGTGGATATCTAAAGATAGATGCATTATGGTGTGAAAGAAAGTAATTCTATTTGCAGGAAGTTGGATTCTGTATTAGTTAAAAGGAGTAACTTCTTAATATTAAGTCTTAACAAAAATGCTTAAAATTCAGATTTACTACTGGAGGTTAGAAATACTCTGAAGTATTGGTTACAAAAATTCTGTTTATCCATAGGTAATTTTGAATTTTTTCAACTATTTTAATAACTTCTAAGTAAGGGTTCCGTCTGCTGTGTATTTTCTCAATAACACAGATACATAAGGAAGTCATTCGTTTGCATGTATTAATGTCATCTCGTATGGATTTGGGACAATAATATTCCCACCACACACAACACACGTGCATGTCCATGCGAATGCGTGTGCAGCGTCCTGGGTGCTCCTGTCCGTGCGATGCTCAGTTCACAGAGGCTACAGTGAGGTGGGCAGCAGAGGCCCAGCTGGTGGTCAGGAGCCTGGGCCTGAGGACCAGCCCCTCCCCTGGACCCAGTCCTCAGAGGGGGACTCAGGGAGTTCCATATCCAGGGCCCTGCGCTCACGTTGTCCCGTGTACCAGACAGCAGCACTCATGACAGCGCAATGATTTGGAACCCGAGACCTTTCTCCCTTTCCTGAGCTCTTGAGGCTGGGCTAACCTGTCCCAGAGTGATCCTCAAAGCCATTCTGAGTCACAGAGCAGAGAGGCTGACAGTCCCGAGGGGACCAGCTGGGGCCGGGCAGGACCCACGCGCAGGGTTTCCTTGGATGAGAGCACAGATGTGGAGCTCAGGTGTGGCTCAGGTCCCTGCTACCCCTCACACGGCCTCCCACCCTCCTGGTTCTCAGGGCGGCTGAGCCCAGCGCAGCACCAGTCCTGGCCCAACAGGTGAAGAGGAGGACGGTCCCTTATGGGGAGGGCACAGGGCATGCGTCCTGCCAGGGCCACAGGATGACTCGCTGCATGGGTGTCCTGGGCTGTCCTCACTCTGCGCCCTCTGCATCCCCACCCAGCCTCTCACCCCAGGATGGCACAGTGGGGAATCTCATCCGGGTGGGCCTGGCCAGCCTGGTCTTGGGGCCCTCGGGACTCTGCTATGCCAGGCTGGGCACAGCCAGAGAAGGAGCCGAGATGCAGCCAGTTGGTGAACACCAGAGAGCACTCACTGCGCATCCTCTGAACACACAGACAGATAAATCTGCCGAGCCCAGCACGCTCTGGAAGGAGAGCTGCTGCATAGCTGAGGGCCTGGTGCTGAAAATGTGCAGGGAGTCCAACGTGGTCGCCAGAGCAGGGCCCGTCTGGGTGCTGGGTGGACGCCCTCTCCCGCTGAGCCCTGTGCTCCCCTCACCCTGCCCTGGGCTCCGCTGCCACCCCTCAGGTCCTCTCTGGGCCCTGACCGGGGCTGTGCCCCAGGGCCAGGCCCGTCCTCACCTCTGTGCGTCTCGTGCCCTGCTGCACTTGTTCCCGAGCCCAGGGGCACTGGGTGGATGCCTGGGGCTGCCTCCCCTTCACCGCCAGCCGGGTGCCCTGGGTGCTGTCTGCTCAAGGGCCACGTTCCTGATGCTCAGGAGAGAGACTCCAGCTTTAGCAGAGAATCTAGAACTCGGCTCAAGTAACAGAGCAAATAGACAAAAACCAGATTCCAGCCTGAAAAAGTGAAGGGCCAAATGCTGCAATTACGCTCTCTCTGGACCCTGGAAACCGAGTCCTGTCTATCGAGTGCTCTTACGGTTTCTGCTGAAATATAACAACTTGGAAATGAGCACATTTTTGTTTGCAGCGACAGGCTGGGCGGGCACTGCCGCCCGGCTCTGAAGAAAGTCACTTGGAAAGGAAGCTCTGCTCTGCTCTCCGCGTCCCAGCTGCGGGTTCTCGGGAGCAGACCCACACGCAGTGCAGCGCCCTCGGGCAGAGTGGAACGAGGTCCACCTCCTGCTGTCAGAGCGCGCTGGTCACTGCTGGGTTGCACACAGGCGCTGCCCTGCAGGTCCGTCTTCCCCCGACTCTGCTGTAATCCCTGACTGCATCCAGAAAGCTTTCCTTTCCCTTTTTTGGAGGGGTCCAATCTTTCCGATTTGCCACATAGATGCGGTGGATTGATTAACGGTCAACTTGCAAGGCTCAGCTGAATGGAGTCAGCGTGGTTTGGGCATGGAAGACCCGCCTGAGGATTGTTTCCAGCCTGGAGCTGGAGCCTGGACAGACCAGGAGATTCCCACCCAGGGTCCCTGCCACAGTGACCGGTCCTGGGAGACCGTGTGGCAGCTGCTTCCAGGGACCCCTGGCTGTTTCCAGGGACCCAGCGACAGACCCTGGCTGTCTCCAGAGGCCCGGACAGGGCCGCTCAGCTGATTCCCTCACCTGTGCTGCAGTCGCAGCCCCGCGCGTCTCAGGGAACCGCTCTCCCACAGACTCCTGCAGACCTGCCCAGCGGACCCTAAAGGGCCCCAGGTCCACGCTGGCCCTGGCGCGGCGCAGGCTCGGGCTCGGGGGTCACCTCACTCGGGCTCGGGGGTCCCCGCGACCGCTCGGTGTGCGCATGCGCCCTGGCGACTCACACCGGACCGGGCGCCTCCACACCCCCTGCTCCGCCGCCCTGAACTCGCTGGTCTTCGAGGCTGGGGTCGGGCGGGCCGCTGTGGCTGTGGGGCGGGGTGGAGGCGGCGTCCTCTGCGGGACAGGGGCTGGGGGAAGGCGGAGCTGCCCCTGCTCACACCTGCACACTCGCACAGGGGCACACGCAGTCCACGCGCGAGTCCCCCTCGGAGACGGCAGCGTCTCCTCTCTCCGGTGATTCCCCTTCTGACCACTAGGGGGCGCGCGTGCCGTCTTCACTGCGCACTTCCCCCCAAAAGCAAACAGAAGAGGAAAAGAGGAGCCTGGGTGCGTGCGACTCTCAAAGGAGGCCTTTCAGGAGAGTCAGAGGGCTGCAGCTTCTGCAGGGCGGGCTGGGAGTAGGGCACAGGCACAGACACGGGGCAGCACGCACACTGCACCCATAGAGAGTGTGCGCCCGCACGCATGCTCATTAAAGTAAAAACACTGAAATAGGGACGAGTGTTTTACTCTTGAGCGTGAAAAGCGCACTTAGAAACCCAGCAGCCCCTACCCTGTGCTTGCGCAGGCGCGGGCCTCCCTCCCCGGAGCCCCGCCCCTCTCTGGCGACAGAGGCCGAGGCAGGCGGGTCCCAAGGTCAGATCCAGTGGGCTGGAGCCTCTGTCCTCTCGGAGCTGGAGCTGGCGCTGCTCGCCCCAAATAAAAGGCGCCGCGCTCTGACATCCGCGTCCTCAGTTTAACCGCTCGGGGTCCGCTCCCCGCTCCCCACTCCCCGCCCTGTCCTTCCGCTCCGCCCTCTGTGCGTCTCCCTGTCGCGCGGCCACCTGCTGTCCGTCTCTTCACCGGTCATCTCCCCGGCCCCGTGTGTCCCCTGCCGCAGGGAGAGAGGAGGCGATGCCGCGGGCAGCACAGGCATCGCTGCTTCCCCAGCGCCGCCCACGCGGGACACGGGCACGCGGGACACAGGACTCTTGGTGCGCCCCCCTCCCCGGAGCCCACGCCCAGGGTCACTTCAGTGACCCGGACACGGGGTGACGGTCAGGATCGCCACCACAGGACCACACCGTGGCGGGGAAGCAGCGGGCTCAGTTCTGCACCTGCTCAGGCCTGCGGGGTTCGCATCAGGCAGCGTGGGGTCCCTGGGGACAGAGAGGACAGCAGGGGGAGGGGCGCCCGCGGCACCACCCCCAGGGCCCCGCTAGAGGAGCCCAGGCCCGCAGACCTCACCTGGGCGATGGATGAGGAGCCCACTGCACCTCCGCGGACCCGCGTGGAGGTTGACGCTGAGCCCGCGGGGATCTTGGAAACCAGGCGCGCGATGCCCTGGAGCCAGGTGAAGCCGGAGAGTGGGGGAGCCGAGTGGGGGGTCCTGAGGGGTTCCTCAGCCTCAGGCAGCCCTGGTTCTCAGGGGTTGAGCTCAGGGCGCCGGGCTGTCCTCGCAGAGACGCGGCCCTGGGCCTGCTCACCTCCTGGGCTCGATCGGTCCGTGGACACGGCGGGTCTGAGCCCTGCAGAGGCCAAGCCCAGCTGGTCTCCCAGGACTCCGCAGCCCACCCTGGGGGCCCTGCTCTCCTCCTCGGACCCCCTCTTGGGGACCAGCCACGATATGCACGGATTGGTGGGGGCCAGATGACAGCACCCCCAAGTTCCAAGGTCGGCGTTAACCTCTCAGGAGCAGAGAAGTAGGCGCGACCTAGACTTGCAGCTGTGCGGGAGAGCCCTGATCACAGCACTCCCGGGCCAGGATAGCTCCTACTGGGGACAATGAAAAATGCAGGCAGGGGGCTGGGGAAGGAAGGACCTTAACTTTTCCCTTTGAGAAGCTACCTTGGTCCCCATCTGCCCATTGTAATCTTCCTGCAGTCCCTGTTCCTAGAATAGTGCACTACCCCCTCCCCCGTGCTTCGTGCTGATTAATGAAAGCTTGGCCACCATGGTAGGAAGCCTGTCCACCAGAGACAATTCCTCCTGGTTCCCCAGTGCCCACTGAATATTGTTTCTGTCTCCTTCCCCGGCGTTCTCCCCGCAGGTATTCTGGAGTCTGAAGCTCCCCACACAACTCTGCCTGGGAGCCGGCCTGTGCATGGACAGTCCCTCTGCAGTCGATTCCAGAAGCCTCCTTCCTCCCTCCTGTCAGGATCTCCTGGTCTGTCTGTGCCTCATGGGGCCAGTCCCCCACCTGGGTGGTCCCTGCTGGCCATAGGGGCATTGGGAAGAGCCGGGTTCTCCACTTCCTCTCAGGGCAAGCAGGTGACCTGGACAGCAGAGGCTGCTGGAGATGTCAGAATCCACCAGCGCTGCCGCTGCCTGGAAAGGCAGGATGGGAAGAAAAGGGGAGGACCTTAGGCTCTGCTGAACAGGCATGGCCTCGGGGCTGTGGGACAAGGAAATGTAGAGCCCACCTCCCTGTGTGCCTGGAGGGAGGTGCAGACATCCGTGCACAGAGGAGGGAAGGACTGGGAGACCAGGGAGAGGTCAGGCAGAGGCCAGGGCGAGGGCCCCGGGGCTGATCCAGGGAGCACCTGCCCTGGGGAGCAGGCTGGGAACGGGTGAGGGTCCTCTCCAGAGGCCTCATTCCCCGTGCTTGTGCCACATGGTCGGCCATGTTAATACGAATTCTCCAGGAGTGTTGCGTTCTCCCTTTGCACGAGGAGAAGCTAAGGTTTGTGTGGAATGGTGTGGGCTGAGAACAGGACCGGGTTAGAATTACAGCCCGAGCCTGTATGTTTGGCAGCCCGATTTCCTACACCTGTGTGTCATCATGCAATCCTCCATCCACACACCATCCAACCATCCATCCATCCATCCATCCACACATCCATCCATCCATCCAACCATCCATCCATCCATCCATCCAACCATCCATCCATCCATCCA